GCAGCATGAAGTAAGTTGACAGATGTGTGTCCTGTCTTTACAATTACTGTCTGTTTGCTTCCCTCTGGCAGTGCTAAAGAGTGTGTGTAGTGCAGTGCAGCAGTGCGGGGTGAGCAGGAAGGTTTAGCGCTCGGCGGCGTCAGGTCCCAGAGATCTCCAGATGGTGTTCTGCACTATTAACAGGATGTCGGCAGAGCCTGTGGCTGCAGCTCCTCCACTGCATCAGCTGCTGCTGCTGCTCCTTGAAGCAGCAAACAGCTCTGGTTCTGGGAGTGCTAGGCCAGGGCCCCACCACGGACAACGCCCAGTGTGGCACATACATGGAGAGATTGGGGTTTGGGCTGCTTTTTGCACCACTGCCCAAGGGATCAGTGGGGCTCCAAAGCCATCGGCAGTGCCTTCCCTCACTCAGTGACAGAGCTGGAAGCACAGCCCCAGCTGCAGGCTGCCTGTGGTCACAGGGATGGTTTTGTTGCTGCCTTGGTTTAGAGGAACAAGGCAGAGCGTTTGGGGCTGAACTCTGCTTTAGGGGTGTTTCCTTTCAGGGATGTTCCTCTTCTCTGTGGCCTTTTGTGGCTCACCAGTCCCACATCCTCCTGCGCTGGGAGCGGGAGGAGGAGCTGGGACTCCAGCCACGATTGGTTTTCTATATTGGGAACAAATTTGCTGGTAACTGGAGCTCCTGGTTGGCGATGCTGGCCCAGGCTGGTTCCTGTAGGTGCTGGTGCAATGCCTGGGAGAAGCCAGAAGTGCCTGGGCTGAGATCCAGTGCTGCATTCACACTGAGCTCAGCTCCTCTTGGACAAATGGCACTGCTAGCTCAGGCCCTGGGCAGAGCTCTAGAAGGACTTCAGTTTGTTTGTGGGAGTTTTGTGGTGCTTTTGGCTGATCAAGGCTGAGGTATGTGTTAAATCTTTGGGGTCTCACGGTCACAAAGGCAGCAGCATCCCTGCCCTCAGGTCAGAAAGTCACTGGAGAACAGGCCAGGGCCAGGCAGCAGGTTTGGTGAGGATGGGACCCAGGCCCATGCAGAGCTGAGCACCTTGTGTACATTTGGTGAGTGCAGCTGAGCTGTGTGCTGAGCACTGCATGGTCATGCTTTTAATTACTGTTAAAATAATTGGCACTGTGGCTACTGGGAGGATGTGAGAAGATCAGAGGCTCAAGGCTGTTTCCCGGTGCCTCGGGGGTACGAACAGCTTTCAGTGTCTGTATAATTAAAAGCTACAATCTTTCATGTGCACAATAAAGAGAGCTGGGAGGTGGGGAGACTCCAACCCTTCTGCATTTTATTTATTGAATATCATCAGTGACCACTCTCTCTCCTTCACAAAGGTTTCTAGGAAGCACCAGTGTCTCAGCCATGGCCAAGATACGCAAGTGCTCATCAGGCTTGTTAACTAAAAGGCTTGACCTGGTTTGGTGCTGGGGTTGGTGTGGGAAGGGCAGTGCAGTTGTACAGGAGAGCTCTGCTCAGGCTCCTTCCTCTCCTCAGGTCTCTCCCTTCCTCCCAGCTCAGTAAGGTTTGGGTAGTGATCTCATTTTTCCTTCCTTCATCCACATCCTCCTTCGGCCACTCCTGAGCCTGTTGCAGTGAGGGATCAGCAGATCACTGACACTTGCCGTGCCCTGTGTGTTTCAGCTGCGGGAGCTGGTCAGCATGTGCATATACCCCGACCCCGACCAGAGGCCTGACATCGGCTACGTGCACCAGGTGGCCAAACAGATGCACGTGTGGACCTCGAGCACATGAGCCGCGTGGGGTGTCCAGCACAGCTCAGTCTTACTTGAATCCTTTTCTGCACGGTGGAGGCTGAGCCCTCAGCAGAGGCTCCTCCTTTGCAGGTTATTTGACAAGGACTCTCCCAGGTGGTCGTGCTTTAACGTGAAGATTCTGTGAGGTATTGCAAGTGATTCTTTTATGTTTATTTCTAAGGCCAATAACGTTACGGACGTAGATCATTTAAGGGTCCTTTCCTAAACTGTCGTGTGTATCTAGGGTAGGCAATAGGACCGAGGGGTGCTCGGCCAGAGCTCCTCTCCTAACTGTAATGTGAACTATTGAGATAATTCCTTCAGTGAAATCACTTTATCCTGATGTAAGAATTGCTGTAGACGTTGTGTAATTTGTGTAACTGCTACTTTGCCTCTTCTGCAAATGGTTAATAGCAAACTCAGTTTTTACTTGGTGTATTTTAAAGCAGCCATGTATGTGTTTTAGTACTTCCCTCCCCTTCAGACCCAGGACCTGGGAAGGGTTTGGGGATGGGAAACACTTTTTGTTTCAAGATTTCTTTTTTTTTTTTCTAATTGAAACTCTGAGTATTGTGCTGATGCATTTATCTGGAACTTGGCTACAATGGGAGGGTTAAACGTGAACCTGGGGCAGGAAGACAAACGTGCCAAGCAAGGGAATTGCTCCTTACCCTCACTGCCCCTTTGCAATGTTCTTCTTGGCCTCCAGGTTCTTGTTTAAACCCAGTGTTTCTCACAGTCAACTCCGCTTGGTGCAGAGACTGACACCAGGTACTGTCAGTGGAACTTCAGCAGTGTTTGAAACACTTGGAAATTCTGAAAAAGGAAATAAATGAGATGCTTTGTGTATGGAATTCTGCCTAGGATCAGCCCCATGGCTCAAACTGTGAACGCTCATTGCAGAATGTGAATGTGTATAGAATCTCACCCTGATCCGAAGGAGTTGTCCTGAACTGCCTGAAAATTTGCAACAGCTCAATCCGTTCATTGAATCAATGATTTGTTCATTACTGTCCATGAAAAGATTCACTGCTTTAGGAGCAGCCTTGGATTCACGTTCCAGTGTTTCCGTTCCGTGTGCCTGGCGGGAGGAGCAGAGCTGCACTCGCTGTTCCCCAGGGACTCCCTGGGCCTGTGCCACTCCAGGGGTGCCAGGGCTGGTGCCAACGTTGCACCCATGTGGGACAGCCCCGAGGGAGCCTGGGCTGGTGTTCCTAAGGGACCTGAACTCCTTCGTCTGTTCGAACTAAGCTTAGGGTTAGAGGGTTACATACATATATATGCTTCTAGTGGATTTTTTTTTAGCCTAATTTGCTCTACTTAAAGGAAAACTGCAGTGCCATCCTCAGCTGCTTCCTGTCAGATTTGGGAATATTGATGTAGGGTACCAAGGAGAGCCACTGACTGCTGTGAACGAGGTTGGAATCCTCACTGCAAGTGCCATTTCCGTGAGGCTTCTCAGCAGCACTTGAGGCTGCTGCTCCCAGCAGAGGCTGGGGAGTTCAAATCGGCAGGAGAACGTCGTGGAGGCACCAAATTCCCACCATTCCCATACTTGGTTAATTCACACCTGGAAGGGCCCAGTTCCACTGCAGCTCTCCTCAGAGCTGTGCAGCTCCAGGCCCAGGAGGGTCAGGCTGTGCCGCGGTGACACGGACGAGCACTCACCTGTGGCTTCCAGGGAAGCTCAGCTCACAGAGGAGCAGCTGGAGAAGTCTGGTCACTTTCTTGCTACATAAAATTTCTTAGTGCTTATAAGAAAATGTATTTCAAAAGGTAATTTTTTTTTGCAATTGTGCATTTTTAGATAAATAAAAAAATGATTTCCAAACTAAACACCTTTGTTCAGTACTAAAAGCAATACTAAAACCTCAAACCTCAGGACAGACCTAAACGTGTGAAACTCCTCCTAGCAGCCACTGGGTGCAGCTGCTTTCCCAAGCAGTGGACAAATGGAGACAAATGGGAAATTGTGTATGAGCCTCTGCCCTCTGATCTGTGGCACACTGGAGCTGTTTCCCTGAGATGTTTGCTGCATGATGCCAAGGCTGGGGCCTGGCACCTATTCCCCTTTGGCAGCTGATGTCAGTGTCACACCTTCCCTCTTGACTGCACCAGAAAAGAATTCTGCAGAGGGCTCTGCTATTTTCTCAGGGTTACGTGGTGTTGTAAAATCAGTTTAACTCAAACAGTGCAAACTCAGGATTTTAGGACAAAACAGGTCCAAGTGCAAATGAGTGACAAGACAATCAGCTACAGCAAACAGAGCAGAAATAAACAGCCCCTGAGGACCAGTGTTACCTCCCTGCCTAAAGGAGCAGGAGAGCAGTGGCTGCTGGAGATCAAGCACAGCAGCTCAGAACCATCACTGCTCACTTGTTTTCAGACCTTTTCCTGTACCCATCAGGAAAAGAACATTCTATTAAATCAAAACTTGTCAGCTTGGGCTTACACCGAGCAGCTTTACTCCTGCTGTTCTGTTGCTGGAGTGAGGGAGCAGAGCAGCTGCATTTATGCCCCCTGAGCAGGAACCTGCTCAGGCAGAGCTCAGAGCCCACAGCACTGCAGGGGCTGAGCTGCTGCAGCTCTGCTGCACAGGCCTCACCTGTTCCACAGCGCAGAAGGGAGAAGCAGCAAATGAGCAGCACATCAGGACACCAAGGAGAATGGCCAGAGCCTCTTTATTCGGCCCCAGCTGCTGGCAGCTCCCAGGCAGAGCACTGGGAGAGCACAGGCTCTGGGGGCTCAGGACGTGTCCATGGTCTGTACTGTCTCGTCCACCACCTCAATCTCCAGGTGTGCCACATTCTCTGTGAGAACAGCAGTCGTTCCCTTCTCACACTTGTACCTACCAAACCTGGTAAGGAAATGGGGAAGGTTAGTCTGGAAGGTGGTTCATAGGAATACTCCCATTTGCAATTTTAGAACTGAGCAGCTTTGCAAGTTTCCTGTGGATACCCAAAGTAAAGGAGGAAAATTTGCCAGTTCTAGCACTCAGGTTTGCTCACTTCACACTCTCCTCACCTCTGTGTCCATCATCAGGAGAAAACCATGTGACACATACTGAAATGTAACCTTATTCCCAAAGAGATCCATACTGGAATGTTTGTGACAGAGAACTGAAGAGATTCAGAATTTCTGTTGTAAGGGAAGAGGGGGAAGAACATGGTCACCCCTGAAGGATGTACAGAGCTTTCAGGAGCTGTGCAATCCCTCCCTGTGCTGTAGGGAACTGGACACTGAGCAGGGCAAAGGGCTGGACACAAATCTCTCTTTTTGCCAAGGGGAAAAAGCAGAAATTTCTACACACTGGAAATGGCTGAGAGAGAACTGTTTGGTTAGGAAAGAGGAATGCTGCGAGCAGGTCTTAGTTTATTTAGACATGAAATGGGACTGGATTTTAGCCCAACTAAAAAAAACCCAAAACTCTTGTGACTGTGTGTGGAGCTCTGACCTGCAAAGTGTCCCAGCTGCCCTCGGGCAGCAAAGGCAGAACTCCATCACTGCCTCAAACTGCCCAAACCTCAGGAGCCTGGGGAAGCTGTGGCAGGTAAGACCTTCATTTGTTCCCTCACACCCCTGTACGTGCCACTAACAGCTACAGCCACACATTTGTGCTGGTTAGCTGAAATTCAGGCACAGACTGGGGACCAGTGACAAAATCTGCACACAGGCCTTGCTCCCTCCTAGCTTCAGAGCCACTCACCTGTCTCCCTTCTTGTTGGCCACGTCGTAGGGACGGAGGAAGTCCAACTTGCTCTTGCTGATGACGCAGATGTCGATGTTGCTGCCTGAGCCCAGGTCGTTGTAGATTCCGGCGGCGATGGCATCACGCACGAGCTGCTTGGCTTCCTCCTCCTGCAGAGGGGAAACTGTCACTGCCAGGGGCTGGCACTGCCCAGAGCTGTGTGCCTGTCAGCCCAGAACAGTGACACACCAAGACCTCACATCACTGCAGGGTAGCACAGTGGGGCTGTCCAGGGACAGCTCCCACCCTGTCCGTCCACCACCCCTGGCTGGATCAGACTCCATAAGGACAGTCTAGGAAGCAAAACTCAAAGAGGTTTTTGTCTTAGTGAATGGAGAAAATAAGATCATTTTTAACTTCCAGGCCTGTGCCTGTAGTGTCCACTCTGTAACCCATTAGTCCCACGAGTTTAGGTACAAGATTTCCCTAAGTCAGGACTTATTTTATCATCCTTTAGAGCCCCAAAATGATTTCTATGATTCTGTAGCATGGTTTGGTTTGCAAAGCTCACCCTGCACAGCCCAACAGGAGCTGTGGGACAAAGCTCTGCACAGTTTCAGTTCCAGTCCTGAGCACAAATGCAGAGAACATAAAGAAACCTGCTGAAAACACTGCCCAAACAAGGTACTGCTGGTGAAATACTGACATTAGTTATGTTTTTACCACTGCCGTGAAACAAAGGAACCTTTGCTACAGTAACTGAGAGTTACTGTTTACCAGCAAAATAGCCTGAGCCAGAGTGCAACAGCATCACACAACCAGCACTGACATCAGTGTCTTTCACATGGAAACATCCCACGTTCATCAAGCTCCCCATTAAAATACTACACCAGGTCTGTAATCACCACATCCCCACAGACAAAACACGACTGGTACTGCTGTGGAGGCAGCAGCAATAGAGCATTATGTGCCTTCCCAGGTCATTCCAGCAGCACTGGCTCCCTCTGCAGCTCCTGGGCAACAGCCACGGGAAGACCCTGGGCAGGAGCAGGACACAGCACAAACAGCAGCACTTCCTCCTTCACTCTCAGCTTTATCAGTATTATTCCTTAGAAAAAAATTAATTAACTACACTTCCTACCAACCTGACTAGAACAACGTGGCCATGCTGTAAAAATAACTCCTGTGCCTTTTCTTCAGGGTTTTGGCAATAAAACCCTGATAAGTAAATGATTCCTCACTCAGCTGGTAGAAATAAACAAAGCAAATAAACCAAAGAACTATGTGTAGATCTGTTTTAAAAATTAAGTGGTAGCAAAACCAGACTAATTTTAAGCTACATGAGCATTAGCATAAGAAAAGCAGCTTAGGAAAGCTACAGCAGATTGGTGGAGTTTGTGTCACTCTCCTTTTCAGCTTCATCTTTTTAAGACAACACTGTAAATCTCACAGATTCCTCTAATTCAAATATTATTTGCTCTTAAAAACACATTCTATCAACCTACTGTTAACAAAATAGCTCCAGAAGCACCAGCAAAGCCAAGTTGGCAGAGCTGAGCTGTACCTGCACTGGGCCTAGGCCAAGAGCTCAGCTCCTCCTCCAGCTGTGCAGCTCAGGCTGGGACCTGGAGAAACTGAGTTTAGAACACAGAATCACAGAATCATAGAATCAACCAGGTTGGAAGAGACCTCAGAGATCAAGTCCAACCCTACCCTGGTTACTAGACCATGGCACTAAGTGCCACATCCAGTCTCAGCTTAAAAACCTCCAGGGATGGTGAATCCACCACCTCCCTGGGCAGCACATTCCAATGCCTGATCACTCTCTCCATAAAAAATCTCATCCTGGAGTGACCAGGAGCACCTTCAGTGCTGCTTCCTGCTCCTCCTGGTACCACTCCGAGCACTGCCCAGGACAGCCACAAGAACAACCCCTCAGCATTCCTCAGCTCCTGCCCAAGCTCAGCAAGGATTGCTATTTCCAGCCACAAACTGGGGGTTAGCAGGAAAGTGCTGACACAGCCTCAAGTACAGAGGCCTCAGTGAGTCACCGTAATAATTAATCTTAAAAAAACCTAAAAGTTCAGAGTATATAAAAGGCTTTATGGCTGCAAAAACCAAGCTAACTGGGAGTATGGTCCTCGGGGGCTCCTGAAGCAGGACCAGGGCGAGTGATGCACGGTGAGGTGCCAGGAGGTGCTTTATGGGCGATATGCCCATCACACACCCAGCACATCCCAATGTGAGCCCACTCAGCCACGTGACGGATGTGCCGTGGCCGTGGCTCTGCCACCTCATTACACAGAGCCCAGGCCAGGCTGGAATAAATAACGCGGCACCGAGGGCCACTCCGAAACGGCCTTTGATAAATTATTTATCACACAGACAATTGTCTGCATTTAATATCGGCGCGACCGGTAGCGTCTTTAAAAGATGATTTATGTGCTGTAATGCCATTAAGCTTTCTATGGGCCCACTGCTGGCCGTAAAGCCTGCTGAGATTTAGAGAATGAGTTTTAAACTGTCACTGCGACATCACGGCGGATAGAGCTGTATTAAATCTTTACTTTAAACCTGTTATCTGGAGAGTTGCAGTTTGCAGACACTCAGGGCTGATGGATTACCTCTCACAGCTGCTCTGCAGAGAGTCCCAAACTGCTCTGAGGAGCAACTTTTACACATTACTCTTCTATACGACTTGAACCAAGTTCCTCTTCTCACTTAAGCCATTTCCAGGCTTCAAGTGCTACTGAAGGAAAAAAGACTTTGCTGCAGGAGATGAAGGTGTTTCTACATCATTTTGATACTGTCTTCACTAACAGCCTGCACACAACTTACCGTTATGCTCAGCAGCAAAGGGAGCAGCTGCAATGGCTTTGTGAGCATTATTTCCTCAGCATTTTATAACTCCAGAGCAACTTATTTAAAAACTCCAGAAATTATTATTTTTCTTAGCAAAATGAAATTAATCCCTCCTGCAGGTCACAAGATGCTGCCAGGGACGAACTACACAGTGCAGTTCTCCAACAGCAATTCTTACAAGAGTTTGAAATGTAAAGCGCCATCAACTTTAGTATAAAATGAATAAAAATAAATAAATGCAAATACCTCTCAGAATAGCCAACAACAATGAGATTTGTTCAAATCATACAATACAAAAAGTTGATCCTTTCAAGCTGTTCATCTCCAGGGCCGCCCAAGGAGCAAGGAAGGACATACCTCATCTCTTAACTATTTTTGCTAATTACACCTATGGATTTTATGTGGGTTTCACCATGACTAAAGCATCAGTAAATGTTTATTTTTCTAACCACTTTCTACCCCGAACTTTGCAAACAAACTGCCCCTTAGTCCCCAGTTATTGTTCTGAGATAACAGCTCTCCCCACTCCAAGGCCCATCCCAGCCCTCCCTGATAACCACTCGTACAATAAACCGCGTTAATATTTCATACCGGGGTGAAATATGCTGGAGTATCAATCCAACATCTGCTGTCTTAGGGCACTGCTGTCCCGCAGAGACACTTCCGATTTGTAATTGAGCCCTACACTGAATTAATCAGCAGTTTATCTTTTTTAGTAAAATAATCTCTTCCCCACTAACCTGGATTTACATTAAGAATTTATGCCAAATTACCTGCCTGCCAAGGCAGGAGACGTCTCAGGTTCGGAGCTGCAGCTCGACAGCAGCAGTTGCTGTATGTCATTCCCTGCGTGGGGATTAGCACAATCCTTATTTCCAAGGGCACACAACTAAATTACAAGCTCCTCTCACAACTGCACGTTTTTTTAATGCTATTCCCACTCTGAACCCAGAATGAATATGAAAACTCATTTAGGCCCTCACTTCTGGGTGAAGTTCGTGGGTTTAGGGCCCTGATTCCTGGGACTGGGACTGGCCCCACAGCAGCAGAGCTGTAAATCCTGCCCAGCTCTGAGTTCTCCTCTGGCACCAAGAGCTGCAGGTCCCTGTTCTGCTGCACAGTAACACACGACCCTTACCACCCAGACATGCAAACACTGCAAAAGACTAAAATTAAACTTACTGTATAGCACTGCATATAAAAAAATTAGTATCAAGCAGTAATAGCTCTGGCTTCAAATAACCCAAATCCCTGTTCACACGACAACTGCTTTACCTCTGGCAGGATGGAAGGGAAGGAAGGTCAGCATTTTATTTGGGAAGAGAAGCCTTGGACCCTCAGGTAATTCATCCTTCCTAATGCAGCAAAATGCCCCCAGAGCCTGTGCTGGCTCTCCCTCTGCTCACCCCCAGCCCTGCACAGCCACTGCCCTCGGCCACACCGCTCCCGAGCTCTGTGCCACCTGAAATACCCTCCAGGACCTTCTGCCTGTGTTCTGCAGTTACAAACTGGAGCAATTTGAACTGCAACACCTGCTCCTGAGAAATGCATCAAAAATAATTACCTGTCCTCCCCTACCCTGTGTGCTGGAATGACCTCCTCCCACGGAGCACTGCGGCTGCTCAGCATCACCACGGGCAAACCCCAACTGATGTGGTCACAAGGGTGAACAAATGGCTCTCTGTGATCCAGCAAGGCCCAATTTACACCAAGGTAACATTTACTTCCCTGGATACAGCCTGCAGGCAGGAAACTGGAAGAAGGCACTGGTACCAGACTGGTAGAGTCGGCAGGTCCCACCCAACCTCTGCACACAAAGTGGCTCTGGTACCCTCAGCAAACACACCTTAAAACAGTCCAGCTGGAATCCCAGCCATGCCACAGCACACCCAGCTGGCACAGCCCAAACCTGTTTAACACTGGTTCCACACAGGGAATCAATCCAGGGCACAACTCTGCAAAAGAAGATGAGAACAGTACAAACTGTCCAACGTGTCAGGCAGAAACCAAGTTACCACAGGATAATTGTCATCTAACTTGAGAGTGAGGAACAGGTATGAGAAGCCTTTATTTTCTGGTGACTGTATGCACTAACACCTGATGTTCACCCATGGAATCCTTGTCTCCAGGAGACACTCACACAGCTATGTCAGGAAAGCTGAAAACTGCAGTGCCACAAGCTCTGGCAGCAAGGAGTGAAGATGTGCCACTAACAGCCTCAGTTCCTGTCACTGCTAATGAAATACACAGATACACAGGGCACAGAAACACAAAGTCCTTATTTTTGCCCACCAGCTCAGAGTCTTTCCCCTCTATTTACTTCATCTCCATGTTTGACACCAACAGGGGCTCCAGGACCTCAGAGAGGCTCTCCAGCTTGGTCTCCTGTGTCTGCTGGCAGAGTTGAGCCCACTACCCCTCCCAGAATATTGTTTCCACTCAGTACCACTGGATTTCCTGCCACGCTCAAGACATGGCACAATAAATGACTGTAAATATAATCTCACACATTTGTGGTGATCTATCCTACAAATAATTATCAAATATCTGCCAGACCATCTCCTTTCATTTCGTTCTGCCTGTTCTGTGCTCCTCAACTCATTACTCCAAGCTTTACTTCCTTTTCCTTGCACTGTAGCTCTGCTTTCTCTGGCTTCTACTGATTCTCCTCCTCTTGGAGCCTTGTTACCAAACCTGGCTATTGATGAAACAGAAGAGAAATGAAGCTACAAACAGCCTATTTCCTTGGCTACGACGCAGCCTCACCGTGCTGCAAGTGACTCTTCTGCAGACAAAAAGCTCCTACTTTTCAAACACCAGGAATCAAATTCCAGAACAAGATATATTCCCCCAGCCTCATCTCCTGAGCAATCCACAACCACAGGACAGACAAACCCAGACCTCCAGCATTTAATGCTGGAGATATTTTTCC